GGCACGAACCCGTGTCCCCTGCATCGGCAGGTGGACTCTCAACCACTGCGCCACCAGGGAAGCCCCCAGAATCTGTACTTTTGAAAATCACCCACCCCAGGTAATTCTTATGTACATTCAGATTGGAGAACCTCTGAATTCTGACCCAGTTGCTTATCTGGTACTTGAAAGTCATCTACAGTATCCCTGACAGCCTCCAGGTGTTAATGAGACACTTTCACAGATGGAGAGCTCGTCCTATTAAGAAGTATCTCTGATGATGTTAAACCAACAACCACACAAAAAATCCTCTGAGATTGAACTGAATTCTGCCTGCCTGTTTCTGCTACATGGAGGCCCTTGTACTGATCTATGGGTCACTGAACAAGCCTCATCTTTCTTCTCCATGAGGGCCCTTCAGTTACTTGGAGAGAACTGTTGTGTTTTATTGCAACATCCTGTTTCTTTAACTGTTGCTACAAGACATGGTTTCCAGATTCCTCACCAGCCTCATCTTTCTCCACTGTACTCTCTCCAATTTTTCTGGATTCCTCTGAAAATGTATTTTCCAGAAATAAACTCAGCACTCCAGGAGTGGTATCAATAGTCAGGAAGAGGGAAGAACTTTTACCTCCCTGATTTTAGACATGATACTCCTATTAATGTAACCTAAGTAAAATCTTGTGAGATAATTAAATAGCCATATCATGTCTGTTGATTATAAAGTAGGAACTCTCATAGATGTCAGGGAGGGCATTTATAGGGCTGCCTACTCACCTGTGTCACCATTGAGGGGACCCAGTTCCTGCAGCTCTGGTTTGGGAGGCTGATCTGGTCCTTGGCACCTCTGGAAGAAATGAGACAACAATGAGGATGAAGGAAGAAGGTAGGAGGTCAGTGTGAGGATGGATGCTATGGTAAGATTCTTCTAAAGGCAAGACAGGAATTCCAGTCGTGCCAAACCCGGCTCTAGGCCCAGTTCACTTAGGCTTCCTCCCTCACTAAACTGAGGCAGCACTCCCTCTGTGGGGAAAGGGTTCTCAGAGCAGAATTTCTCATCTTGGCCAGGGAAACCCTCCGCAGGGAGTTTGATGCTGGGTGGTCTCTCCTTAGATTCTTGTGATTTGGCTTGGCCACCAACCATGGGCCCCTCTCTGCCCTTATCTTCCTTCTCTAGGGACTTGGCCAGACCTTCTGCTATTACCCTCACCCCAGTTATGGCCTTTAGGTGTCCTAAAACTTCCTAACCCCCAGTTCAGAGACAATTCCCCTTCCCTCTCAGGGCTTGTGGCTACCACAACTTCCAGCCAACTTCCCTGTATTGAAAGCAGAGCATCAAAGTTCCAGCCATGTTTTACTATGCTTCTTCTCTGCTAGAAGGGCTGTTTCCCCAACTATAAGGAGACAGCAGTACTTAACATGACAGATGGCGGTGAGATACTGCAGCCAGGATGTACCAGGCACTATGCTGTCTTATCTATACTATCTCAGGTAATCTTTAGAAGGACCCTGGGAAATACGAATGCCCCCCAATTTAAAGATGAGAAGGCTGAGGCAGGTGAGGAGTCAATCAAGGTAAATCAGGGGACAACTGGCAGAGTCAAGTATTTGAGCCATACCTAGTGGGCACTTTAACCAACCTTGGCCTGTGTGGGTTGAATCTGATCAAAGGAGAGAACTGAGGCAAAAGGGCCTTCTGTACCACAAGGCAGTGTCAGTGGCTCCCAGATTTCAGTTTTCATAAATAATAATTTGAAATAGGAGAATTGATATGGGTTGACAAGAAAGGATGCTGACAAAAATTATTTGCAGACTATCACTATCATTTCATAAAACAGAAGACATTTTAACCTTCCAAAGTATATTAAGGAAAGCTCAAGATAGTTCTTCCAGGAAAGGGGAAGTAACATCTTACTCAACGCTACACACACATTCACACCTTTAATTTTCTCATTTCACCCCAGAGAGGTGAAAAGTTGGTCAAAGTCTGGCACTGGCCACTGGACCAGGATCTGGGGTAGAAAAAAAATTTAAGCCATTTTGTATACTTTTCAAAATGCTCTAGGATGTTAGCTAGACTTATTGTGATCATTTCACAATGTATATAAATATTGAATCCTTAGGTTGTACACCTGAAATTAATATGTTACTTGTCAATTATACCTTGAAAAAGTGTTCTGATTTTAAAAAATAGACATTCTAGGCCCCATTTTATTTCTATTAATTAATTTTTTTATTTTTGGCTGCGTTGGGTCTTCGTTGCTGCACGCGGGCTTTCTCTGGTTGCAGTGCAGGGGCTACTATTAAGGAAAGCTCAAGATAGTTCTTCCAGGAAAGGGGAAGTAACATCTTACTCAACGCTACACACACATTCACACCTTTAATTTTCTCATTTCACCCCAGAGAGGTGAAAAGTTGGTCAAAGTCTGGCACTGGCCACTGGACCAGGATCTGGGGTAGAAAAAAAATTTAAGCCATTTTGTATACTTTTCAAAATGCTCTAGGATGTTAGCTAGACTTATTGTGATCATTTCACAATGTATATAAATATTGAATCCTTAGGTTGTACACCTGAAATTAATATGTTACTTGTCAATTATACCTTGAAAAAGTGTTCTGATTTTAAAAAATAGACATTCTAGGCCCCATTTTATTTCTATTAATTAATTTTTTTATTTTTGGCTGCGTTGGGTCTTCGTTGCTGCACGCGGGCTTTCTCTGGTTGCAGTGAGCAGGGGCTACTCTTCGTTGCGGTGCGCGGGCTTCTCATTGCAGTGGCTTCTCTTGTTGCGGAGCACGGGCTCTAGGTGCGCGGGCTTCAGTAGTTGTGGCGCACGGGCTTAGTTGCTCCGCGGCATGTGGGATCTTCCCGGACCGGGGCTCGAACCCGTGACGCCTGCATTGGCAGGCGGATTCTTAACCACTGCGCCACCAGGCAAGTCCCTAGGCCCCATTTTCAAAATCACTTCAATAAGTCAGCCTGTGAAAAGGTTATGAAAGCATTCAATTGTGAATTATCACTGTAAAGGAAAAGCTTTCCTTTTTTCTGTGATAATAGATTAATAAAATAAAAATTATTAACAATTTCCTGAATTTGAGAATGAATGAAATGCTGCTAGAAAGCATACTTCCGGTTGAGGAAGGAAGAGAAGGGAGGGCTTCTGGAACATTCTGCTCCTGCCCCACAGTGCCTGGCACAGGGTCCGGTGCTGCGTGAAATCCTGGCAAACTGAGCAAGGCACAGTGCTTCCCCCAGGCCCTGGTCCCCACATCTGCTCAGTGGCTGGCACGCCTGTCACCCTCCCTCCACCCACCCTGTGAAGTCTCCGCCCTCCTGCCCATGGGAGAGGGGACGCCTGGCCCAGGCACAAGCTGTCAACACAGGATTCTGGGGAAATGACAGGACCCAGCCTCTCCACCCTGGGCTGGAGGAAGGAGGGAGATAAACACCAACGGTTGTCTTGTCTCTGTTGCCACCACTGGTTACACTAATCTGGTCAACGTTTTTATGAGTGAGATTTCCAGAATTCCAGTCTTGGCTTTTCCACAAATTTGGACAAGTCTCCTTCCTCCTCCGGGTTCCCACTTCCTCCTTTGTGAAGTGGAGGTGAGGAGGTCTTAGTTTCACCCAACGACGCCCATGGCGTTCAAACTCTGAGTGTCTGATTTCAGATCCTTTCAACCGCACGGAGAGGCAAGGGTTATTACAAGGGAGGAAACTGGAGCTGGGGAGGTAAGACACTGCCTAACGCGACCTCGATGTCAAAATCAGCATAAGAACAAGGTCTCAGAACAGTAGAGACCGGAACAGTATGGTTAAGAACTGTGGGAGTCTAAAATCACCCAGATCTGGATTCAAAACTAAATCCAACACTGTGTGACTACATGGCCTCTCCAAGCCTTGGTTTCCTCAGGAGGTTATTTTAAGGATTAGATGAGATAAGGCACCTATAACGTCTGGCATATTCTAAGATCTCAAACATGGCATTATGACAGTTACCACGTTCTGTTTGAAAAGCACGGCAAGAGCAAAGACGCGCAGTGCTTTCCTAGATCTTCTGGGCTGCCCTTGGCCTCAGGTTGCCTGAAAAAAGTTCATAAAGCTCATGAGAAACTGTCTTCTCCCAAATAACCACCACAGAAGGTGGAAAACTCTGCTCCACTAACAGCTTCCAGACCTTAGGCAGGACATGGCCTTGTGCTTGAGTCTCCAGATCCTGAGGGCAGCCCTGCCCCCTGGATAACTCCTGCAGAATGACATTCAGGACTCATAATCTGTCCTCACTCTACCCTTCTCCTCTCCATTTTCTTAATATTTAAATATTGGTAAACATCTTTTTCCAATTATAGTGGTAATAAATAATACATAATTATTCATTATTGGAATATTATATATACTTTCTTACCTCTTACTTTTTCAAATATGAGCATTTACTACATGGCATTAAATATTCTGTAAATATATTAATTTTAATGACTTGAGTATGACATTCTTATGGGTGAATTTAATCATTTAATCAATAATCCACAGTTGAATGGTTTTTTAATCCATACAACCTCCACTGGTTTTAAATCATTAATATTACTCAATATCTAATTGAGTGTTTCATTTTCAAAATAGTTTGCAAGAATATGTTGACCGCAAAGAATTTGCTTTTTAAAAAAAATAATGCCTTCATGTATCTCCTTCCACTCTCTAACATTTCTATGAAGCTCCCACTTTGAGTAGCTTTCTGATATTTGTGATCTAACTGTAAAATGTTATTCCCTCCCACATGTGAATAAACATAAATCCAGATGTGAAAAAAAATCCACATCTTTTTTTTTTTCACATTGAGGGAAAAAAAGTTGAGGGACTTCCCTGGTGGTCCAGTGGTTAAGACTCCGTGCTCCCAGTGCAGGGAGCACAGGTTCGATCCCTGGTTGGGGAACTAAGATCCCACATGCCGCATGGCACAGCCAAAAAAAAAAAGATCCACTGTTGAATATATACATTATTTCCATTTTTAAATTTCCAAATCATGCTTTAGAGAACATACTGATTTATAAAATTTTTCACACATCTAAAATTACTGGCTCTGCCTGTGCTCTGCAACAAGAGAAGCCACCACAATGAGAAGCCAGGGCACCGCAATGAAGAGTAGCCCCCGCTCGCCTCAACTGGAGAAAGCCCACGTGCAGCAATGAAGACCCAACGCAGCCAAAAATAAATAAAATTTAAAAAAAAAAGAAATATAAGATTAAAAAAAAATAAAATAAAATTACTGGCTCTACTCTCCAGAAACTTCTATCAATTAACTCACCCACTAATAATACACAGAAGGCCAGTTTCACTGCAACCTTGTCCACATGGACTAGTGTCTTTCTTTTTTCTTTAATTAAATAATTTTTTTTTTCATGTTGACCAATTTACTAGGCCAAAACCAAACTAAAACAACCTGCTGTGCTCCTGGCCACAAGATGCACAACCGTGTGTTCAAGACCATCCCAGCATGACACATGGTCAATAATTTCTCAGGCCTCCAGGCCCAGCTCATATATTATTTCTACCTGGTCTCTCCCCAGGGCTGAGTTAGCTCCTGTCAGTGCTACGCTCCAGGGCCTGTTTAGACACCTGTGTGAGTAGCTACCCAGTTACCTGTACTTCTGCTAGTCCAAGGGGCTCCTTGAGGACAGGGACCATTTTTGAAATCGACTCTGGATTTGCCCCAGTATCTGTTATGATGCCCAGAACAATATTTCCAGGAATTTCCAGGCCTAATAGAGGGTCTCCTGTATTAGAACCACCTGAAGTCCTCGCTTAACACAGCTCCCAGGCCCGGTTCTAGACCTACAGCATCCGAGGGT